ACAGCTAAATCTATTTCGAAACATACCTAATACGTCGTATATAGGAGTTGGATGTCAGACTGCAGCCGATGGTCCAATGAGGAAAATTCTTCCTTGAAGAATTAATTTTCTCATTAGGCCATCGTCCGACATCCGACACGTACGGCGTATTTTAGAACAGCCCTAAGCTTTATCGCGAGCGAACCTGGTGCAAATTCGACTTGCGTCGAGCGCGAAGACGCGGAAGAGCGACCGACGTTCGCCGCTGCCGTGGCCGGCAACGAAACGTTCTTCAGACTAACGCGCGTCGTCGAAGATGATAACGTCCGCCAATAGCGTTACATAATCGCAAATGTGTCAGCGATTGTGAGGCGTACGTTGCGCATCGAAGTACCGACGAGCCGCATGTGTTTATCCGGCGTATCGCACGTTTACATAAGACGCACGTTACGCGTTAATTACTAAGCAGCGTCCCCGCGCGCTCGCCCGCTGTTAATCGCGCGTCATCGTCATCCTCATTGTCGGATCATCACGTCGCGAAATCTAATTTTCACCCCGGTGAACACGTCACGCTCGGTTACCCTCGTTCAACCGACCGCGCTCGTTCTAAGATCGCTTAACTCATCCGACGCATTTCATTTGTTCGGCGATTGTAGAGGAAACCAGCGTCCGTATTCTGTAACTTTTAATGTATGTATTCTATAAGGTAATAACGTACACGCCACAAATCTGTACATAGACAAAATCTGTTACAAGATAGTTGCGCAACGGCATACGTTAACGATAACGAAATTTTCGTTACAGAATAATTTTCATTTCGTTTATGTATTTATCCTGGGAGAAACGAGCAAGGAGTCGCAAAATGCTCCTTTTAGAACATATTGGGTTGATGCAAAAGTTCGTTACATTTCTTACATTACCGCAGATGACGGAAATGTGAAAGGTGAAAATTACACGATCGACACTAACTATATACGCTATAAGCTAGCCACTAGCTTTTGATCCAGGCCGACTAGATACGTTTTTAGAGGGAGACTCGCGGAACGCGCGTCCGCGAATTCTGATCGCGCGGATTCCGTCCATTTGGCAAGCTCCCGTATTATTTACTTCCGCGCACGTCAAACTACGTCGTGCAACCGGAGACTCCGGTGTTACGAAATCGCGTTTCGGCCAATTTTGTCGGCGGTGGAAAAATCGACGTGTCGTTCAAAACGCTAACATTACATTACCGAGCCGGTGCCGCCGTCCTCGTCTGAGATCAGGTCGGAGACCTGCTTGCTGTTGCTCTCTCGTACAGTTCGCGCACCAAGTACGCAACCCATCCAGCGATCAACAGGAAACTCACGAAGGACCAGCCGGGCCAGCCAACGAAACCGGCAGATTGCATCGGACAAGTCATGCGACTCATTTTCTCGCGAGACCGCGCGTCGTGCTGGGATTTTCGCTTGCGAAATCGCGCCGCTTGCGACTCGCGAGTCACGTCGGCTCCTCGATCGATCGCCGCCACGGCGATTCATGCTTCCACGAGCTGGAGTCGCGCCAGGCTCGCCGGCAATATCGTCGTCCCCATCGAGTTGCCCTTCTCGCGCTTTCCTCGCCGCGAAACGATAAAGACGCGTGCCCGCGAATGTGTACAGCGCAAACCGACTCGTGTCTTCTTGTCTACGAATTCTTTCTCTCTTTTTTTTCTTCTACATAGGCACGTGAAAACTTGTCAATTTAATCGACGACCCGTAACGGCGTCGCCGCCATCGCATATTCGTCGTGTATGTATGTATTTATTTATACGTTCGATATGATAGGCGTTTGTTCGCGCAAAATTATCGAAATAGTCGGACTATGAACGAGCGGGTTGTACACGGTATGCCAGAAATAGCAGAAAGCGGACAAGCATTCAGGACAAGCCGGTATAACTTCGACGAAGATCTAACGTTATGACATCAGAACGGTGTCCGCGTTGATTCCACGCGATAATGCAGCAAACGTGACAGTTCGCGGAAGCTCTCGCGTTTTATCTGTGAGGATACGGTCAATTCTAAAAAAAACTCGTGTATTTCTGTCACTGCTTAATTTACTTTCCTAGCGTTAGTTTCTTATTATCCGATTGTCTTAGTAATTTTAACGTTTTATTTAATGATTTCGTGCAAATTTGAAAGGAAATCTTTGAGATAATGTGATTTAATATTTAATATTCCGTGAATATATGTTAATTACATTTTAACCGGGCTCAATTGTGGAAACAGGTTAGATTAAAAGTTGTATATAAATTTAGAGACAGTAAATAATGCAAATAGGTCGAGAAAAGAGGAGAAAAGAAGTAATATATAATAAAAAGATAGACAAATGTATGTATAAACCGAAAGAGTCGTCCAAAGCCGCAAGACATAAATTTAAAAAGTATATATATCGTAAATATCTTTTTTGTTACTTTAATTAACACGTGAATTTAACATCTTAATTTATCTTATCGAAATTATACCGGTAGCCTTTTCCACGCGAGAACGAGTTTGACGAATATCAAACGTGTTCAACCAAAAGTCTTTCCCACCAAAAAGCAGTCATGCTAATTCGTTGGTAATTAACGCTCACTCAACCGTGTGCAGTTACATTCTTTTCAGGATTGTTCTTACACTCTCCTAAGTTGTAGAAAAACATTCTCCGGGCGCGGGGAGAACTTTCGTGTAGCGTCGCCGCGATTGTATTTCGAGAAGTAAATACCGATTCCTACGGCGATATTGAGCTTCCTCATTGGCTGATATTCGATATCTCTTCTCGGTATCATCGTTACTTTCAACACTCTCCTCGTCGTTCTTATCGTCGTCGTCGTCGTCTGCCTCCTCCTCGTAAACGGTATTGACGAACGTCTCCGTTACCGAATGCGTAGAAGACAACGAAGAAGTAGAGGTAAATTCGTCGCTAACATCGCGCGAAAATCCGTAATCCTCGCCCTCCCGTCGCACGTTGACGTCGTTCGCGGCCTCGCCTCCGAGGAATTCCGTTCCAGAATGACAATTTCGCGCGGTGTCCTTCGTGTCCGTTTTCGTCGCAGTCTGCACGAGCCGAGAAAGGACGACGAAAGGGTCAGGACGATTTTCCCGAGGCAAACGCGACTGCTCTCTAGGGCTCTCCGCCCCTGCGATTATAGCCCTGTGCATAAGTGGGCAAAAAGAAAATGCAAAGTTGCATTATCTCTCTCTCTCTCTCTCTCTCTCTCTCTCTCTCTCTCGGATCGTTCAGAGGACGAACCACGAGATTCGCCTTCTACAGTTGTATTCCGCGGGAAGGCCATCCGTGCTGTTCCTCCGTGTGGCGAGAAACGCGCGACGATCGTAGCGGCAGGTCTTTCCCAGACCTACCGCGAATCACTTAACCCTGGATTGCTCCCATTGATGCGAGAAACCCGCATGACTCAGCTCTAATTAGCATTACCAGTTACGATTGTATATAATCAGGACGACGAAATCAAGTCTTTCTACTTGCCCCTCGTCGATTATTATAGTTTATCGTTTATCAAGATCTTCGCTAATTGTCGTTAGCATTTACCCAGACTCATTAACCCGTTTATCCAAGTATTGCTTACTCGTTCTCCTCGGCTAATTAACGTCTATCTGGAATTTGCAACACGCGAGTCGCGAGTCTGGGCAAAACATCGCCCGCACGGGTAAAACAATTCCGTAGATGACTGAATTTTTCTTTGTTGCATGGGAATCAGACGAAAACTTGGTTGTAGCAATAGGAAGATTTCTGTGGAAGTTTTCTATTCAGTCAATCGCTCACTCGGTTATTTCAACCGAGTTTTTATGCAGCTAAATATTTTCAGTTACGGTAACAGAAATATCATTTCTCGTTGACGAATTTTCATCTGGTCTCTATTTAGTTGCAAAAGCTGAGATTTTTTTTCCATGCATGGTAAAAATAATTCCGTTGGTATAACTGAATTTCCTATTGCCCGAAGACCAGACGAAAACTCGATTGTAGGAATAAGAAGATTCCTGTACGAGCTTTCTATCTAATCAATTGCTCTCGGTTGTCTCAATCAAATTTTAATGCAACTGAATGTTCTCATGTTCGCGATATCATTTCTCGTCAGTGAGATTTCATCTGGTTCCTATTCAGTCACAGGAACTGAGATTCCTTTCCGTGCGGATATACAGTAGAGGAATATCTGAACGAATGGGATGTAACCCAAGGTTAATTATCCGACGTGTTTCTCTCTCTCTTTCTCTACCCGGTCGAATAACTCGTGCTCCACGAGAGCGTGAAGGCGCGGAGTCACGATTACCTGCGGCGAGAATCTCGCCAGCCAAGCGGCGATCCTGCGCCGAGTATCGTGGGACAGTTTGCGGTAGCACACGACTCCGAGCCAGATCCCGGCTACGAGGAGAACAAGGAGCAGAACGGCGAGCCACCAGCTCGTGGTGTCCCTCTTCGCGACGACCTCATGATAGGCGCAATACGGCGGCGGGGCCGGGTAAAACGGGTGGCAATGATACGCGGCGTAGGGGTCATAAGGGCAGTGCGAATAGAAAGGGTGGTGAAGGGCGTGCTGAGGGTGCCTGTCATGATTCGAGCGGGGCCCGCCGCCGTTGTACGGCGGTCGGGAGTGCGACGTGCACATTGCCGACGCTCCGGACGACGGTTTCCCTAAGGATTCGGCGGGACGTCGATTCGCATCGCCAACGCGCGCGACCGACGGTTGCAGAACGAATGACCGGTGATTTTGAGGTGTATCTCCGAATAAACTGGGGTTACTATTTTTGTTCAGGTTAGATCGTAAACCGGCGATCACGCTGGAAAAGTGACGAGCGAATTTTCGCGTCGGCCGTCCCCGTCATCAACTGTGTTCGCGTGACACGTGTGAACCTTTTTTTTGCAAGTCTTAAGCGATTTTTTTTTCTTTTATTCCTCTTTAAGGTGGAACAGGCGAGAAAAAGCGCGCAGAGGCGGATTGTGACTCACGCGATTGATGGCCTGATTTGATGAGTGAGTTAGCGCCGAAAAAGGCGGACTCCGTAACTCACTTTGTGGCTGAGATCCATCACGTCCTCCAGGGATACGTCGCTGTACACGTCGTCCGCGGGATCGTAGTTTGAGCCCATCCCCGAGCTGTTGAAGCTGCCACTGCGATAGAGCTGGCTGCAAAAGTCGTCAGGGGACTTCTTTAGAATTCCACGAAGGCGTGACGGACTTCAAGACGGAGTCCTGCGATCGCTCTTGGAAGGTAATATTAAACAACCGCGTGCGCGATAAGGAAATCGCGAGAAGAAAAACATGTTGTTGCTTTAAAAGCAAACTCGCCACGATTTGAAATATTCGTCGATCTTCAGACTCTGTATGGTAGTTGGTCGCAAAAAGGTTGCAACACTTTCTTTTTTTCGATGAGTTTCGCAACTCGCATTCCTACCCAATAGGAGAATCTATCTCCATGTATTAAAAAATTCTCCTATTGGACAAGAGATACGTTCCTAAACTTAAAAAAAATGTGCTGCAAACTTTTTGTGACTGACCATGTATACTGATGTTCTAATATGTTGCAACAACAATTTTCATTTTGCAGTAGGCGTGCAATGCTTAAGAACACCAATGCACATATGCATACAGAATTAAATATAACAGAGATTTAGATATTCCAATTTAGAAAAATGAAAAAAATTCGACGAGTTCTGTCTGCGATGCTTTCCCTCGATAAAAATCAGACTTCATGAAAACGCAGAGACATTTTCTTCGTCACAGAGAGAAAGAATTAATTCGTATCGAAAAACTGATTCACGATAGCTGTAATTGTGGAAGTATTTGCTCTTTAAGCAACGGTGCGTTCCTTTTTTTTTTCTTTTTATTTTCGATCGTCGCACGTAGGTGTTAATCGCCTCTTGCTTTGAATAAGACACGTCTCGGACACGTAACGGCAACGGTAGCGTACGGAAGAAAATATGAATATCGAAGTGTATCGTCAGCGGGTAGAACACGAGTAACGCAAGAAGCACGCCCACGCGTTAGAAAGTCCGTCGATTCGCGTTCCGTGAAAGGAGCGACTGCGGGAAATTATTATTATTATTATCGTCGGGGAGGCACATCATCATCCTACGGCCGGCGAGCAAGACTCTCTTCTTTCGCGCGCGCGCAGATTACCCTCTTCCTCTCGCGTGTGCACGCGTCAATTAAATCGCGGGGGGGAGTAATCAAGCGGAATGATTTCCGAGACATGCATGGAAGAGCGCGTGTCGAGAATCTCTCTTAAAAAAAAAATTGCAGCATAAACGGGAAGTTTCGAAGTTCGCCTCTCCTTACCTCGCTAACGCGTTGGAGCTCAGCCTCTTCCTTCCCGAGCTGCAAGCAACGAAAATACATTCCTCAGCGTTTGTGCGCAGCAACGTCTAAAGACGAGCGATCTCATTGCGAAATAATTATCTTTAGATCGTGTCTATAATTCCTCTCTCTATCTATCTGTATCTATTTTTCGAGAGAGTCCTGGGGAGAGCTCCTAGCGGCCATCGCGCGCGCCATCGTTCTGCCAAATTTCACCGTCAAACGCAACCGTAGGCCAAAAATCGCCGCTTCTATAAACGGTAACGTGCAATTGAGCAATCGCGGTTATAACGTGCACACAGCGGCACGTTTCTCACACATACGTACGTATGCGTGCACGGTACCGCAAGGAGCTCTCGATTTTTTTTCTCCCCAGTTGTAGCGAACCGCAAGCGTCATTTAGCGCGGACAACAGTTGCGCTCTCGGTAAAAACAGCGATCCAACACGCTCTTACATCGTATTGCTGAATCCGGACGAATCAACATCTGAGCGAACGGAGGTGCTCGTCACTCAAAGTGCCGTACTGATAAAAGTATGCAAAGTGTATCGGAAAGGCAAGCGCTGAGTAATCGACGCGCTAAAATGAGCTGCCATGCGCTGTCGAGAAAGTCTGACGGATCAACGTTTTCTGACGTTTTCAGCGCGTCAGAATCCTCGAGATCGAGCCGGAATATTCCACGCGCATTTCAGCAATGACTGCACTCAGTGAACACGCCGGTCGCACAAATCGTCCAGTAAAAATGACGTATAATATACACGGAAGTAAAAATTATGTATAATATATATGAAAAAAATCTCCGTTGGTGATTGAATTTTCTGTCAGCAAGGGACCAGATGAAAACTCGTAGAAACAGGGAAATTCCTGTGGAAGGTTTCTATTCAGTCGATCGCTCTCAGTCTTGTCTCAACTGGGTTTTAATGCGGCTGAATGTTCACACGAATGCTCTCAGTCGCGGTAACAGAATAATATCATTTCTTGCTACCGAGTTTTCATATGGTCCTTATTCGGTTACACGAACTGACATTTTTTTGCATGTGGAACTTATTTTAACTCAGTTATATCTTAGGAATGTTGGAGTAACTTCACTCGGATCATGTAAATGTTATTTGAACGGTAGCGCTTTTCCTTTCAGCGCACGTTTAAAGAAAAGAAAAAAAGGGAACACGCGAGTTATATCATAAATTCGGATACCCATCGCGCAGGAATACATTACGAGCGTTCGAGCAGCCCCGGCTCTTTCGACTACCGGGGAGAGCGCCGGTAACGCAAGAGTTCCCTCCGTCTCGGCCTGATATTTCGACTGTCGCTAACAAGCCCCTCGCGAGCGCGCGAGAGAGCAGGAAGCTATTGTTTCGGTAACGACGTTCCGCGCGAACTCGCTTCCGTCATTCGTACGCCGCGGAGATAGACGCGTCTCCCCCTCGTGAAATCTCGCGGGCGCCTTTTCTTATCTCGCGCGCGACTACGAACGCACGACGACGCACCGAGGACGGTGTGTCGTTGTTTGCAACGTACGTGCGAGCGCCGTCGCTTTCCCACGAGATCTTTTTTTTCGCACGCCACGAAGCCGCGACCACGCGACGCATTATTGTCTGGTCGCGCGCTTTTTCAACGCCGGCGAAAATTCCGTCGGGCTGGAAATTACGTGAGCGCGCGCGCATATGTGTTCTCTCTCTCTCTCTCTCTCTCTCATCTTTCTGTTCTTATTTCTCTTACCAAGGAGGCGTTCTCCGCAGCGAAGTACGCAACCAGGAATGTCTCCCAACGGTGGAGTTCGGGCTCCTCGGGTTCCTGCAAAATCAAGAGATCACGAATGTTAACAACGAAGTGAGTGAGTGAGTGAGTGAGTGACTCGGCTTGGCAGAATCGAGCGGAGTGGACACGAACGACTGGTATCGCTATTCTCGAAGAGCTGCGCGTCACGCACGATGACTGAAACTTATTTGTATATTTCACCGTCGAATCTCTCGGCCGCAGTCACGTAATCCTTAAAATATTCCGAGGCGGAGATACGTTTCAGGAATTACAAAAAAATCCTTATGTATAACTGTACCAATCAAAGTAAGCGTTATATTATATCATTAAAATTGAAATCGAGCTTATCTTGCTATCTTAGCTCCTGTTATGTTCTAGAATTAATGTGGGACCAAAATTTCTACTCAGGTAATTTCTACTTCAGGTAATTTAAAGCAGCAGACACGAAATACAGCGTACGATAGCTTATTAACATTTGAAGTTAAGCTCGAGATGCGCGTAAGAAGAGAGAACCGCTGCAAAAAGAGTGCAACGCCGTTAATAGGAAATCACATCATTTCCGAGTCCTTCGGTGCATCGCGCGCGGGTACCGCAAGCTCGTAAAAATACATTTCCAACATTACGCAAGCGCCGTGTGACTCGCGCATACAGATAGCAAGTCAGTCGGTATTGTTCCAAGCTGATAGACATTGTGTACAACGCGCGCTACGCTCTTACGTAAAGCTGTATAAACGTGTAATATACATATACGAACGTGTATTCGGATTGGGTATGCTGGGTTTTAGCGTGCGCCGTGGTATTTCAGCCTCGGAAATAATCCGCTACATTCCGTCTAATATCACATATCGAGCGAATAACGACAGGAAGCAATTGGCTATAATAAAAGGCCTGAGTTGCTTTGCTCTCTTCGTGCCTAAATTAAGGCCATATAAGCGACTCCGAATTCCGGGAACACACTTGCATCTTGCTTTCGTATCAATCAATAGTAGGAAAGAGAAATAAAATAAATAAATAAATGTGTGTGTGTGTGTGTATGTGTGTGTGTGTGTGTGTAAATTACGTTCGATCGCGCGCTTTTATGGGAATCAAATTACGCGCGCGATCGAACGAATCGCTCGAAGCCAAGCGCGGGCCACGCCGAGTAAAAAGACCACAATGAAGAATAGAATAATAGCTGGTTACCGGATCGAGCCATAAAGAGTTTCCGTTTCTCATCTTCCACGTCAATTTTTCTGTACATGAATTATTGCACAGTACAGAGCCAAATCCATATATTGATCGTTATTAACCCTGGTTTGACACTCATGGATCAAATTGACCCAAATAAAAAATTAAGACCTTATAGTTGTTGAATCTTCAACATATTAATATACAATAAACATAAAATTTCTTTTTCGAAACATACAAAATTTACCTTTTTCTGTGTAAAACCATGACATTATTTTCTTTTATATCTTTTATATCTTAAATATTTTTTTTAATAATGATTGCGACAAATTCTTCAAATTTATCTTTACACGTTCGAAACTACAGTATTTACACACTGATACTAATAAAAACTTTTATAAACATTTAAATAAGGGCACATTATAAAAGTTAGTAGGTCTCACGGACCTATTATGCCAAACAGCAAAAAAGAAACGTGTCAACGAAAAGTTAATAATGGATCACGTTGCCAGTTGACAAGAATAGTATCAACTCTTTCGGCAAATAGGTATTCGTTCCTGAGGAAAGATCAGTCTTTGGCGTATATTATTATACATTATTATTATTATTATTATTATTATTATTATTATACAAAGTATCTCAACGTGAGAAGAACATCAAGATATCTCCTTTGCAGAAAATACCGGAGGCTAAAAAACCGACCATAAAAAATTACCGTCAAAAATTGACCGTGAAAAAAAATTTCCTTCCATGATATTCCTCCTTCGAAATCAGATTGTGATCTAAACATCTCTCACATCGTTAAAAACAAAGGAGATATTTAGATGTTCTTCTTATGCTGGGACACCCTGTATATTATTACAAACTCAACCCGATACGACGCTGTCATCCGTCAACACCGCCAGACACTCCCGACGCTCGCGATTCGACAACGGAACACGGACACGACCCGGTGAATCAATCGAGCACTCACCTGCGAGAGGTGCCGGTGGGCGACGGTGCGGAGCTGCTACCGCCCGGCGAGTCCGGGCCGTCGTCGGCGTCACCCTCGACGGAGCCGAAACCCTCGTAGCTCTCTTCCTCGTCGTAGCAGCCGATCTTGACGACGGCGGCGGCGGGCGTCGTCGCGCTGTCGGCGTGGTCCGGACTCACCGAGTACCGGCCGGAATCTTGATGATTCGTGCTCGTCACGAGGTTGTGCAGGTCGACCGACATCGAGAGCGACGGCGGGCCGCTCTGACTCCATCCGACGTTGGCAGTGCCGTCGTCGCCGCCTCCTTCACCGCCACTACCGTCACCGCCGCGGCGCACACCGCGGCCGTCACCGCCGTTCTCAGGGACGCCGTTTACGCGACTCTCGTCCTCGCCGACGTCGACACTGTCGGGCGACGAGGACACGCCGTCGTTGTCGGCCGCGTTATTAGCGGGCGTGACGTTGTTGACACCGGGTGTGCGGGAACTCACCATTCTTCGTTATCGTTCCAGTTTGCTCGCCGGCCGTACAGCCGGGACTCTATGCGAGGCCACGCCACGTGGAGGAGCTCTCTCATCCGTGGCCTCACCTTTTCTGTCGTACTTTCGTCAATGCTGAAACAACGCGTGGTGAGATGATAATTTTTAAGAGAAAACGAGAATATGTACGCGGTGCGATTGTCGAACGTTTCCGCTTTCAGGAACCGAAGCGGAGAAAGGAATGGGAAGAGGAAGGTGAGAAGTGGAGAGAGCGGTACCGCCGTCTGTCTCAAAAAGGGACAGATACCCATAAAAGAGGAGGAGGAAGAAGAAGACGTTGGTGAGTCAGACCTGAGATATGCCAGGAGCGCGTCCGCTTCGGGACCAGCTAGCGGTGCAGCAAGGAAAGAGAGAGCGAGAGGGGGTAAGAGAAGAGAGAAGCTCGAGTCGTTGCCCGCGAGCCTCTCTCTCTCTCTCTCTGTCGTCCGCCAGAAGTCGCGGTCGAGGTGAACTTGTACACGGATGACCTTTTTTTTTTACTATTTACGTCGTTCCTCTCTACCTTAGGATCGTACACCGGGTACATTTTCGTGGCTTCCTCCCTTCTTCCTCGCTCCGCGTGATTCTTGAAATAACGAACGATTATAAGTGGCCACCGAGATTTGCTTTTATTGTCTCGGTGCGACGAGCATTGCTTGAGTGCCTCAAAGAACGTCTCTCGGACTGTTTTAGTTGGGTAACTACCGAAGAGTTTTTAAGATTATTCTTAAAAAAATTTTTGAAATTTAAGTTGTGCCTAAAATGTTAAAATAATAAGATTTGTTCGTCTTAGTTGAACTAGATTACACCTTTTGCGTTTAGAGAAACAAGCATATAACCTTTGGAGGGGAAAAAACGAAGTTGTGATGTAGCATTAGTTTCAGTAGCTAAACTGAACAGGACTATAGTTTTAAAAATTCAAATTTTTTCACGTACAAATACACGGAAAAAAGTTTGAAAAGATTGAATTTACTAGACAGTGAAGAACCAAATGCGTTTTGGTTAATATTTGAAATGTCAATCATATTTCGAGTGTGTTTCCTACGAGGCCCGAAAGTCGACGCAGGCGCGATGTAAACAAAAACGCAGACGTTCTTTGATTAGAAGCCAAAAAAAAAAATGTAAACAACTACCAAAATCGCTCCTATTTGAATAAATAAAACCGTCTCCCGGAAGTGGGAGACGGGGCCCTTGTGAAAAGCCATGCGTTTCCCATTTCTGGGAGACGTGGCACTCAAAATGTTAAAGGAAACAGAATTTCCGGTTACAAGAACCAGATTTGGGTTATAAGAACCAGAAGTTCTGTTTTCTTTAACCAAAACGCCGTTTGGTTCGTTCACTGTCTGATAAATTTTCAAGATTGAAATGCGTCGTTGAAAAAGAAAGTGGTAGGGAGAAAGCGTGCCAACGTATTCGGAAAGGGACGGATAAATGTGCGGGAGAGAGGACGAAGGAAACGTGGCGACCTTTCAGGTTTCAACCTTTTCAACCCGCGAATTCCATGAAACATCTACTCGTTGCTAAATCACGCTCGAAAGACGGCTAAAGGCGATAATTAATCCATGACCCAATGGCCCCTAAAAATTCTAAGCGAACTTCCACGATCCGGCCTCCTTTTCGACCTGTTTCGTTTTTTTGTTAATTCTCCCTTTTTTCCTCTTCCGAAGGATACACCCACCCCACCGCGAAGAGAATGTCGCCATGCGCCATGCTAATGCAGCTCTTCGCCGCTTTACGGGGGAATGACGGTGAGATCTCGTGATATCTAACAATCAGCTTATTAAGCGCATTCTAGAGACGCGCGGAGTAGGAGAAAAGCGTGAGAACCGGCGGGGAAGTCACGGTACAGCGAGTCGAGTCCGCGAGAAGTCCGCCGAAGGAAGGTAAGAACTCGCCCGCCAATGAATTATTTACGACCCGAGTCCTCGTGTTACGTCGACCGGGGAATTATTTAATCTTGCTTTTATCTTTCGGGCCTGTGACTCACTCCATTGAGCCACCAAAGTTTCGAGGTGAGTGCGTACGTAAATAACACGGTAATTCAGAGACAACTTTATCGCCGAAAAGAACGAACAGGTGTTGGAACATTTGTTCGCACGAGCATTTCGCGCTCTGTGTGACGCGCTTCTTCATGGTTTTATCGAGACGAACGGATCGGTCTTCCTTCGAAGCAAACTCAGACGAGATAACGATCGTTGTTTTTCCCTCTTTGTGGGAACGATCCTTTTGAATTCGCGTTTCGTTGCGGCGGCGTTGTGAATAACGTTTTCTCAGTAGATCTCACGATGCGAAAAACACGCTCGAATCGAGCGACAAACTTCGCCGGGGAATATAAGCGAATGAAATCGCAGGGAGATCACTGCCGTCTCTTTTTCGGTTTAATATTGCGCGTAGGAAATTGAGGTACAACTCCGGAAAAACGAAGTCTGGAGAGAGAGAGAGAGAGAGAGAGAGATAGAGAGAGAGAGAGAGAGAGAGAGAGAGCAAAAAGGTCAAACGCGAGCATGAATATTTGGAATTGCCGTGTTGTGTTACGGGCTGGAAATCGGATCGTCGGGATTAGCGGAGACAAAAGTGAGTGCAAGACGGGTCTTATCAGGCTCATCGAAAAATCGCATTGATGCACCATGTGTATTTGCTCAATCTCGCGACGCGTAGCTGGCGAAACAAAGCGGTTTTTTCCGTTTAACGCGATATTCCGTTATTGATGAATCAGCGATGCGAAATACACGAGAGTTTCGCGAGGCAGAACTTGGTCGGACGTTGACGACGATGAGTGGAATTAAGAACGCTTAAGGATCGAAGATGCGCCGACGGATGACTCACATTTGGCGGTTTTTTTCTTCCAATGACACAGATTACTTCTAAATGTAATTTTTCTTTGTTTTTTCAAGACAATTATGAGTATTAAATTAAAAGTTCCAATGCCTGAACACATACTTAACTCTAGTCAGTTCTTGTTGCTTTGTTCTTTAATGCGAATAATAAACTTTCGGCATAGAAGATATGTACATATTCAATATATGTATATCATATATTCTACATTGAAAGTTTAAATATTCGTGTTTAAAAACTAAAAATAAAAATGTCCAGAATTAGGTACGTGTCCAAGCATTGATGCTTTTAGCTTAATAGTACGTATAAACATTCGATGGCTGTTAAATTGTACAATTTATGATTGAGGATTAAGGAAATTGTTTCAATTTCTTGGTAAAATTTACACGACAGGTACTTATTGGACAAACAACAGCTATTGATATTTACCTTATAGATACCTGTCGGGGAAATCTTACCAAAATTTGGAACAATCGACCCTTAACGTAGAATTAAGATTTCGACTCTAAAGGATTAAATTCCCTTTGTAGCATTAAAGAAACATTTATCATGCTCCTTTGATGCTCCAAGTGGGAACTTATTTCCGTATTCTCCACTTGAAAATTTAACGTAGAATTTAAAATTTCGATTCAAGGAGCCTCTCGTCAAGCCAGACGAGCTTTTTGAAAAGAATTTTATTCCCTTAGAAATTTATTCCATAATGTAAAAATATATAAATGAACCTTAAATAAGGGTACGAGTGATAAAAGCTTCGCGTTCGGTTCGATAACTATTGACTGTCCCAGCAGGTTCGGTTCGATAACTATTGACTGTACCATTCTCACACGTGGCTCTCGCAGTATCAACCGGCCATCAAGTTCAAAAGAGCTTTCCAAGTGCGATAATCGTATTATCACAACACGCCCCATTAGCTGGAGTATTACCGCATGTTTCTCCTCCTTGATATCTCCCTTCCTCCCCGTGTTTTTTTTCTCTCTCGAAAAAAAAAAAACATTTGCCCATGTGTATTTTTAGGAAACCCGAAACTGGCAAGCAACAAAGATCTTCGTTTCTTCTAAAAAATTATCGGTTAAAACACCGCGACGAACCAAAAAATAATTTTCACGAGGACTCATCAAATTGACGATTCGCATACTTCGTGAGAATTCGAGAACACTGGAGGTAGAACGAAGATAACATCGATGAACGAAGTTGGGAAAGATCGACAGATTCGTACGATTGTTATCGGAGTTATTATTCGCACAGAGTAATCATTCGGGTTTGTTCGTAGCGTGCAAGTGCAGCAGAAGGGGCACAGGGAGAGGTGAATAGGTCGGCGAGAATATTCACGTTACACACGACGCCTGCCACATTACAGTGTTTGTGATGGATTGAAAATCGAAATCGGATCAAGGATTCCGTATATAATGCAGAACGTCGCGTGGTACGTTGTATTTCGTATACGTTAGAGTACGCTTCCACATAAATATATATCACGAGCCACCGATTAGGCACTGCAAATTGCGCGCTCACGCTCTTTAGACATGTCGTTTGATTATTACTTACACGTGTGCGATGATAATAGTAATCTGAATGGCAGAAGCTCTTTAATACACGTGATAAATTAAAAATAATCACAGATGAAGTAGACAGGGAAAATCAGATTAAATATAACACAGAGCTCGATTCGGCAATCGGATACAAAGATCGGTTAATTTAAAAGCCGATACCGAGAAGTCTCGCGATTCGAATTTAATTTCTTCCAAACTCCATTGAATGACAGTTACTAGCGACCGGCATTGTGACACTACCAAGTCTTCATTAAAAATTTAATTAATTGCATTTGAAAACTTGATAGTACAATCAACAAAGAGCCAAAAAAAATGCGGTGAAATGTGTTTAGCTCAAATTATATCTATTTACCGTATCTTTTGTAATTCTATCATCGTTCGAGCTTTTATATAATCAAAATCAAACAAGGAAAGATATAACGACATTAATATTCGAAATATCAATGATAAAAAACGTGATGCTCCATGTATCAACTAATAGCAAATTCGATCATCCACACTGCATCGAATGAGCGCATGCTCACAAAAAAAGTACATATTACATTCAAGCAAATGTTTCACTTATCTTCCAAGTATCTCACAAGTTTATATATCTGCAAATATATCATAAGTTCATCATAAGCATAAAATTTATTCAAAATATATTCTGAGTCCTAGTTAAGTTTAGGTTTTCAATCAAGAATATTATTATAATTTGAATCAAGACAAACTTTGATTTGCTTTTCCAAATTAATTGAATTTAATTTTCCTCAGATAAAGTTTACAATATCCTGGAAAGAGAATAAATATTTCTCTTAAATACGTGATAATGAGCTTCTCTAAAATTTCTGATGAATATATTTCAAGACTCTTTTATCAAGGAAAAAATATTCTTTGTTGAAGATAACTATTACATAACTATTACTTATATAACTTATTTATATTACTTATATAACTATTACTTAAGAAAAGAAAAATATAAACAGAAAAATATAAATAATCGCTTCTTAGCAATATAATGATATTTTTTCCGCGTGCTGAAGGCTGCTGTACACGAAGTTATTTAAATAACTTAAATAGTTACAGTATAATGGTTAAACAGTTATTTAAATCAAAAAGCATATATAAGCACTTTGATGTGCGATTAAACATCTAATAATGAATCGTCACGTTATTTAGCAGAAAATCCATTAATTATCGCATCTTCAAGGTGTTTGCGTTATGCCATCAGATTTGTTTGTTTTAGCCGAAATAGATTGCATTTTTTGTCTCGGACTGAAACAATTATATAACCCAACAGTAAAGGAAAAAGAAACTAGTGTTCCAATGCAACACCAGCGGTTCAGCTAAAACAAACAAGCCTATTGTATTCGGATACTTCACGTGTAACGGCCTTTAGTGTGCACTAATCCGGTATAGCGCGGGTGTATAGGATCGAATTCGCTAGTAAGGTACAAACTTACTCACTCCAAACTGCTCAGCGTGTTAATTCGTCTCCGCCGAGAGCTCTCGAGCATCACAGAGACGCGGATGCACGCGCTGCAACTCTCTCTTAATTCCTTCGCTCTCGGGAAAAGTTAATCGAGGTGTAATTAGTTATTCTGCCGCTCGGCGGAATAAGCAGCTTCGCATTTCCTAACACATGCCCGACAGGGTCGATAATATTACACCGCCGGATTGATTAACGGCTCGCGTTTTCGCACGACTGACAAAATGCGGCAGAGGAAGCGAAATCGACCTACAATCGCACGCCCGTGATCTCGCCCTCTTCTACGCGCAACATTATCGCGAGCTGTGGTGCTCGCTCGGGCTGTTTACCCAGCGGGGGCAGCGGGGGAGAATCGGGAGAGGACCGGCGTTTCGGTCTCCAGGCACTTGTCACTCGGAACGGTATGTGCGCGTAGATGCGTTTCGAATCTCGCACAGCCGGGAGCCGCTCCAGTCCGCTATTTAGAGCGAGAGCTCGAAAGCGCGGACGGAAGGGTTAAGAAGGGGCAAGGGAGGGACACGATATATTTAAAGCGGGCGAGGAGAATTTCCGATATGTAACCTTCATTTCGAGAGAGAAGCGACTTGCGCCTAGATATCCGGCAATCGAGTCTGGTCTTGTCTCTCTCTCTCTCTCTCGCTGCCTAGCAAATCGCCGGTTAATGAACGGATTAATCCCCTAACCGTTATTCCGCTCTTTCTCGATCGTCGATAGATTGTCGACGGAGAGAGAAGTCGCGCGATCGATTTTCACGTAGGTCGCGTCCCGGTTCTCTTACCTCGCACGCGTTCTTTGCAAAATCGATGCGACGCGTCGTGTCGCTCGTTTATAAATTTTTTTCCGGGCGTCATTAGTGGTTTTCCGTTCAATGACACAAATCGACACAGACATCATTTTGTCTTAGTTCCAAATTCAATGAGTAACAAGGATGATCTCTGTGTTGACTCGTTAAACGGAAAGTAAACTCATTGTGAGCAATTGATTCTCTCAAGTGAAACAAAATTTAAAAAATCGCAAGTATCATAGAAGTGGGTCATGATATATATTAAAATGTATAGCCTGAAATCCCAGTTAAAACGATATCTTAATCATTGAAAAATGTTAATCCGTTCTGGAAATATTCGAGTCACTAAATATACTACGCCTGTCTTGAACCGGTTAGAAAAATTGTGAGCAAAGTTAAAAATTTCAGATTTTTTTAAATATCTTGTCTGGACATTTCCAAGTTTTCTTTGATATTTTAAGTTTCCACGACTTTTCCCGGTTTTCCAGGTTTGTGGCTACCTTGTATACAGAATATCCGTGACTTTTACCGAGAGATTCTCTGAGCAATTTCGAGTTTAACTTTACCTCAACTCAATCTCGGAAACTATTGGTGCCTCAAATATGGAGGCGCCAATAGTTTCCGAGATACAAGCGATTGAAAAAGTGGAGCTTTTCGCGAATTACGCTTCGAGAGACCAAATGGATGACAAAATTATTTTCTCCGATTTATTTCAAACGGACTTTAATTTAACAGGATATTAATTTGAGACATGGTTAAAAAGATATGTTGAAGACTGAAAAGTTCAAATGTCATAATGACCTCTCTCGGTATTTTCGCTAAAGTAAAATTAACTTTAATTTGTTCAGGAAATCTCTCGGTAAAATTAAATTAATTAGTCGCGAGTTTTAATTAATTAGTCGTAAGAACTGACACACCTTGGATATGTTTTGAAGTTTCACTATCCTCTAGGGCATTTCTGACATCCGCGAACACGAGTCGGCGCGTCCGATTACGAGCGAGGTAGTATAAATAACTAGATGATACAATGAAAGAATTCGTTCTCTTTATTCTTCTGTCACAAAATAATCATTTTGTAATATAATCTGTTCTTAGTGTATTCCCCACCTCGGTCTTTCTGCTTTTTTCTTTGTCTTTTCGGATCGTTTCGCAATCACCCTCTCTCTGAAACGCGCGAACGCGGTTAAAGGGTTAAACGCTAGACTAGATCGAGCGGAGCACGCTCTATTTTCCAAACTGGACACGCTCATATTGCACGCACATAGTAAATTAGCGGCTCTCCAAGGTAGGATACATTCGTATGTATATTACAGAAAGTAACGTCGTCACGAGGACACACATGCACGCACACACATACGACCGAAGATACAACCTATGATCTATACAATAGAATTTACAGTAACAGAGAGTCGACGAACGAAGCGACGTCGAAGCGCGCGTTCGCTCTTTCGCACACACGCTCGTACGATTACGGCGACAACGACGACGACAATGACAAACAAAGACGACAAACAAAAGACGATAAATATCTAAAACAGACCTCTCTCTCTGTGTGTGTGTATATGTGTGTGTGTCATCATTGGCGAACAGCGTTCGCTTCTCGACCGCGCTTAAAATGACACGTTGCTGATGTGGCTACGACTACCTTACTTTCTTCCCTTCGCAGTCGACTTCTTCCCCCGATGAAAATGTCCCCGCGACAATGTTCGTGCAATAATGAACGTTTGAAAACGGATAGTTTCGCGCGCGTGTGAACCGTGCAACTCGAAACAAACCGATGACGCAGCCCGATAATCTCAGGTCCGCTACGTGATTTCACTTTAACGAAATATTAATCAGCGTCTCGTTCGCGAAGAAGACAAGACGAATGACGATGTCCTCCTTGGACATTTTTTCATCGGCAGGATAAATCGACCCCGAGATAGTCGCGAGAGAGTCCCCGAGTGTCGTGGACAGCTACCTGCTAGCGGGACACCCTGAGTGATGCAGAGAGCCGGAGAGAGCGGATTCTCTCCTGGTTCTCTCTCTTTCGCGCGCGAGGCTGAGATTCCAGAAAATTGACTCACCTTGAGTGACGCGACACAACAAGATCCGGCGGGACCACGGAGAAAGAGTGGGCAGTATCACACGATGGCAACGGTGTATCCTTGTCAGCCACTAAACGCTACCAACACCTGTGCTCGCACCAGAGAGACAGAGACGCGACGCGATGCCTACGTTATGTTACGAATGAGGCGACGTTCGGCTGTCTAACAATTGACAGAGAGAGAGAGAGAGAGAAGGAACAGCAGGTAGTCGAAGCTCACGAGAGAAAGAGAGGGAGAGAAAGAGAGAATCGCGCCGATCTGAACTAACGGTGCGGGAGCGATCGGCCGAACTGAACGTAGGCACGGACGAGGAGTCGCGACGCGAAAGCGAAGAAAACGATCGGACCCGATTGGAGCGACGATGAGCGCGCATGCGCCTTTCGTGACTGTGAAATGTCCGTGCACCGCGCACAGTACGGTGTGCCTCTACTTACGTGTCTCTGTGTAGGTGAATAGATGTGTGTGTATATGTCACGTACATATACATGTTGCCTCGTGGACGGACGCGGTATACACGAGCGCACAGGTGTGCGTCACGGTCGTACCCGCAGGTACGAGAAAGCACCAGTGGCGCTCAACCGTGTCGCCGCACTGTGTCGTCATCGGCAACCGAGTTCAGGTGTGAGTGTATGACTCTTCGCGTGGCTAATACCGGGATCATCCGTCTAGCGGTATTTCGCGCTGCGCGTTAGCGACGTTTGTCGGTTTGTCTCTGTTTTTCTTCTTTCGGGAGGGAAATTCGAGGAAGACGAGCGCGCGATAAGTTCAGATCCGCTGTACCTAGAAAGATATTCGAATATCCTGGGACGTCTCTCCAGGATGTCTCTTGTACATCTGTGCTGTGTGAGAACAAGTGTAGCGAACTTTTAGCTTTCTGTACATTTTGAACGGTTAAACATCTAATAATGATATTATGTCTTTATTTAAATAGAATATACATTAATTATTTCATTGTCAAAGTGCTTATGTTATGCTACTATATTTGGATACTTTGGCCTGTGTTCTAAATCCCCTTTCATTGATAAAAGTGCCCTTAAAAGTAGCTTAGAAATCACCTGAGAAGTCACATTTAAGGCACTTTTATCGATAAAAGTGCGTTGAAAATATAGGATGTTATAGCGACTTTTAGTACGCACTAATTTAGTATAGTGCAGGCGATCGAATTCGTTATCAAGCAATTTGAGATATTCTTATTATGCTATAATTGAACTGCAATTTGTATGTCTTGTTTGTGATTTGTCGTAATTACTAAATATTTTTCAGCAATTTGAGACACCGACAAGCGTCGCCAAACGGACAACGAATTAGCCGAACTAACGGCCTGTCTACCTGCGAGATGTGTACTGGTGTCGGAAGGTGCTTTGTACTGCGGCGGAGTCGACATTTGAAAAGAATTCATGACGAAAACGGATCTTGCTCGAAGGTTCAATTGTCCCGGAGGGAGGGAAAACTGTCCGTTTCCTGAATTCATCCGGCACCATTACGTGAGTATTCGCGCCGGTTTGTCTACTTTGTGTGCTATTTATTCCTCAGCATTCTCTCTTTCTGTTGCTCTCTCTGAACTCGCACTTTTTTCAACATCGCTCTCTAACTAAAGGTAACTACCTCTCTTTTATTTTCACCGATCGACCTTGTATGGAGAGAATCAAAAATACACTGTGTCTTCTAAGGATATATAGTCGGTCTTCGAGGACTAAAGGGTCTCTCTCTCTCTCTCTCTCGCTTACACACGTATCAAATCCGGATTCCTTATTCCTCGAAGGAACGAGGAATCTCGCGAGTCGACGCCGGGAGGAGACCGCGTAATTCGAGTTAAGTCTTCGCCGTCTGCTCGGCGTCGGCGGCCTTCTTGTAGACCTCTTTGTAAACGAGCTCCTGCATCTGCATGCGCAGCAGCATCCTGCGGTCAGCCGGCAAGGTCCTGATGTGCGGCAACAGGCTCATCAGAAAATAGTAGTTGTCGTCGAAGCGGTTACCGTCGAGCGGGTCGACGCCGGCCAAGCCGACGCCACCGTCGCTGTCGCTCATCAGCACCTGTTCCGGCGAAATATTCTGCAGCATCATTTCGTTGTCCGCCAGATTGTCGGCGACACTCTGGAACTCGAGGTTGTCGAAGCTCTCCTCAGGTTCGCGCTTCACATTCACGATGTGCCGGCCGTCGCTGTCCAGCTTCAGCTGGTGATGACCGTTGTCGTGGCCGGCCATAGACAGCAGATGATCGGCGATCGCGTCCCGGTCATCGAGGCCACCGTCGAGACCTCCGTGCATTACAACCGACGCACCGTTCTCCGTCTCACTCTCGCACGGCTGCAAGTCGTCCTCCGTCTTGGCGACGTTGCGTTCCCAGATCGGCGGCCGCGGCAGCATCTGCTCCTTGAGGAACTGCAGGCTCTTGAAGTGAATCCATACCGGCCGGTTGCGATGGAACTTGCTCTTGCGATACACTTGGTCTTTCTTCAGCTCGGCCCGGAACGTGTCGCGCAGGCCTTTCCACTTGGCCTTCAGCATCGGCTCTGGAAGCAGATCGCAGTAGGACGCTTGCATGTAAGCGCAGCGACGGCTCGTGATGTAGTATAATTACATGTAAAGTGTCATATATATAGAATATGTCTATATATAAAAATATATAATTATATATGAAATTATATATAGAGTTATATGTGATTAACACATTGCATGCGGGAAACGTACTTTTACGTTTTTTGCAGTCTGTCACTAGAGTGCGGGTCACGTAAAAGTACGTATTTAGTAGATTTGTGCTGGAGAGCGGGTATCGTATAAATACGATGGGCATTGTAAGAGTGTACGGTGTTTGTGTTGCTAGACAACAATTTCCATTGTTTCTTTTTAGAAGTTTAGTTTGTCGAGTTACTTGGTTTAATTGAATATTTTACTGAATACCAAACTCCCGCGAAAATCACGAAAAAAACGCCCACTACACGCGTAAGTCCGCGGCGAAATATACCCGTATGCAATGTATTAATATAAATATATGTATAAAATGAGTTATATATATATACGATTATGTGCATATATTAATATATAATTATATATAATCATATAATTATGTATTTTATATATGGTCATATTCTGCATATAATTATATATAAGGAATTTTCTCCTGGGAACATACAAAATATCAATTTTTTAATTACCGTCGGACAAAATGTATGTACATATCTAAAAATTGTAGTTGGTAATTCATCGGTTAATTGTTAATATATTGCATGCGGATGTATTTCGCCGCGGACTTACGCGTATAGCGGGCGTTTTTTCGTGAATTTCGCGGGAGTTTGGTATTCAGTAAAATCGCAATAAATCGACAATTACTTCGTTTTTCTCAACGAAACTTTTTTTTATTTTACACTTAAATATATGCTCTACGATTATTAAAAAAAAAACGACATTACGGAATTACTATCATATGAAAAATCCGATAATGCATCAGCACATATTTTTTGATCACTATTTTCGTCACAATGGCTAATTTTATCAATGTTGTAATCAATAATAATAAAAACAAGCTTCAAATTTACAAAACACGACTTGTACGTTCTGAAGTTATTAAACCAAGTATCTCGACAAAGTAAACTTCTAAAAAGAAACAATGGAAATCGTTGCCTAGCAACACAACACAAACACCGTACACACTTACAATGCCCATCGTATTTATACGATACCCGTTCTCCAGACAAATCTACTAAATACGTACTTTTACGTGACCCGCGCTCTAGTGACGGACTGTAAAAAAACGTAAAAGTACGTTTCCCGCATACAAAGTGTTAATTATATATAATAGTTAGTTTATTCGGAATTTGATGAAAGTCGTTTTTGAATAATAATATGCGACACAGCGAGATATTGAATGCGCTCGTTCGCGCGCATCAGCGCATCCCGCGCATGCGTCCTCGAGCGGGCGAGCGTGTCGTGTGTGTTGTGTGTGTGCGTGCGTGCGAGAAAGATTCGCGGTCGAATCTCGATCGAGGTTACTATCGAAGTTAGAACGTTGCGTTTCCGTGTGACCAGAGTAGCGCAGGTAAAAATCTCTCGCAATCGTAGCGCATCCGCGCGGAATATGTCGTCGACGAGAACAACTTCGCATGCTCGTTCACGCTCAAAGTGAGGTTAGGTCATACGTATGTCGCCCCGCATCTTCTGCTACGAACGAACGCTTCTCCAGGTAGAACAGAAAGTGACGATGACGTCAAAATGATCGAAGGAAGAATTTTTATCTAGACATTTTCTCGTCATTTTCTCTCGTCGTTTCGACGTTATTTTGACGACGTTATATCGACGTTATCGTCACTTTCTGTTCTACCTGGGCCTCGACAGACCGGGAACAATCGTTTTGTTATGAACACGTGACAATCGAGTGTAATCCTCGATGTGTATGCGTTTCAGAGAAAGTTACAAGACGCGGTCCATGCAAAATTCTCTCGAGCACTTCAGAGACGTTCCAATGACAACCGCGCGCTTTCGAATGCGTCACGCGATAGCGCGCGATATTTTCCACGTGCACTTCTCCAATCGACTTGAAATCTTGAAATCACCTCAGGCTGCTCGTTCGTTCCAGCCGAACGAGATTGCACCATTTGCTTTTAGTGTGAAACAAGTGTGTAACCTAATGTTGAAAAGAAAAGGAACTACGTGCAGCATTATTAGTTCAGCTGAAATGAAGAGACTTCTTAACACATTGCATGCGAATATACTTCGTCGCGATACTCGACAAATTAAACTTCTAAAAAGAAACAATGGAAATCGTTGTCTAGCAACACAAACACCGTACACACTTACAATGCCCATCGTATTTACATGATACCCGCTCTCCAGCACAAATCTACTAAATATGTACTTTTACGTGACACGCGCTCTAGTGACAGACTGCAAGAAACGTAAAAGTACGTTTCCCGCATGCAATGTGTTAAGAGTGTATATCTTGACGATACCGGACGATTGTCGGATGGACAACCTCATGTGCAATAAGGGGGAATAATTGTGACGCAGGGATGAGCCGATGATTCGCGATTTAATTTTCCGACGGACTTTTCAATGTCGTTTCTCAGAGCACGCAAAATCCCAGAGAAGAGGATCTCTCCACGACTCTCCCTCACCTTGCGGACTGACGTATTTTTCCGCGAGAGAAGCACCGTTTCGATCGCACGGGAGCTCGCCCAAAATGAGAATCACGTTGAAATGAACTCGCACAATGCGCGTATCAACTCGAACCACGTGGCTTCGGCTCTCCCCGAGAGAAACCGAAAACACCGAAGGAGCGTTCCTCCCTGGTGATCGATCGGGCTTGGAAACTCTCCCCGGTTGGCGCGCCGAAAACAATCCTCGCTCGTTTTCCGCGAAGCGGAGCTGCCACGCGAATTCTCTTATCGGTCTCCCGGCGTCTCGATTATTCCCCGAGACTATTCCTCGTCGTCATCCGCTTCTCCACGCCGGAGGAGAGACCATGCGAGTCGGCAGACAACGCATGGGTGACGCGGCGCGGCGTCTGGGCGGCGCGTCGCGCGTGCGAGCGATCCGCCGCCAAGAGCCGTACGCAAAGGGCAAGGCGGGGGGGAGTCACGGGGGGGCCCACGTACTGGGGAGATTGAATATCGCCGCGATCTCCATCCAGACGCCGTTGGTCACCTCGCGATTGTGGTAGGAGATGTGCCTCTGATTCCATAGCGCCGGCCGCTTGTACACCTCGGCGATCAGGCGATTCGCGTCCATCTTCACCTCGTCCCTCATGCTTCCGCGCGCGCGGTGGCGCCGACCGCTCGCCAACCACCGAGGGGACGTCGCGCAATACCAAACGCGCGCGATACCAGACGCGCGCGAGGAGAGGAAAAAAAGAAGCCCGATCTCGTGCTCTCTCTCTTTCTCTTTCTGTTACTCTCGCGCGCTCGCTTTCGCTCGCTTTCTCTCTCTCTCTCTCTCTCTTTTTTCTGCACGTCCTCGGACGTCGGCGGACCGACGGCGGACCGACGGCGACAAAGTACGGGCGAATACTAGCGCCGGGATAGCGATTAGCGCGCAGGACGCCGGCGGGGTAACGATCGATTCGCGTTTCGCCCTCGTCTCGCCTCGCTAGCGCTAGCAGCCGCACTCTCCCGAGTACCTTACCTCCTCGCCCGCGTCCCTCGCCCTTAGTAGCGCGTTTCGCGCAAGCGAATCTCCGGACGGGCCCGAAGTGTGGAGAAGAAAGGAAGAAAAAAGAAAGACGCGTTCACTCGCTCGCACGCTCGCTCGCGCCTTTTGTCATTCTCTCTTCCGTGCTGCGATATATACGTATACATGCGTATTCGTTTCAGCGAGATCAGCGAGCGTGCGATACTTGCGCGTCCAATTACCCGGGCATGCGCACCTATCAGCCCGGCGAGTCCGCGATAACGCAGAATTTCGATCGCCTCGCTTTACTCGCCGCGTTCTCTCCTCCGAACGATCTCCCCATCGCTATATCGCTCCTAGGAGTCCGCTCGTTCTCGACGCGTTTTTCGCTTCGCCTCGACCTGTGCCGAATCTCGGATCGCCGTCTGAAGAGGCGACGACGCGACTCTCTCTCTCTCTCTCTCTATTAACAGAGGTCCGGCGTCACTCGTTCGTGCGAGTTTTGCGATTCGGTACTCGTGTTCAGCGTATTCAGCGAATCCGGCGAATATTACACGCGCGTTCTGTTACTCGGGAATAAACTTACCGCGTGCCTATCTTTTGAGTATCTGTCGCAGCGTCTGCGATTATTTCGCGGGAGCGTCATCTTCGTTTTCGCTCGTCGCGCTCACGCCTGTCGCTCTGCGTCTCCCGAATGCCTCGCCCAGGTGAAACGCAAAATTACGATGACGTCAAAATGATGAGAAAATATTATAATAATATACTATAATAATAATAGTATAATAATAATAGTACTATTACATAATAATAATATAATAATAATAGACTATAATAATTATTTACCTTTCGATCATACGATTCGTTATTTTCTCATTATTTCGATGTCATTTCGACGTTATTGTGATTTTCTGTGTTACCTGAGTATCTGGCTTGTTAACTTTTTCGCTCACGCAAATGAATCTCGATTTCGCTAAAAGTTGTATTTAAAAAAGTTAAAAGGATATACTTAAAATTGTTATTATGTTATTGTTGTTACTTTGTGCAAATGAAATCAGCGAACGCAATACTTGCATCGTCGCGAATGTCACGTAATCTTGACAATGGCGTTTCATTGCTAAGATTCAGGATTCAGGCACAATGAAAGGAATAAAGAACAAGGAATTAAATTTCGATATATAAACAACCTTCAGTCCGTGATAAAGAAGTGGGGAATTAAAATTAGGATCCGACTTCCGAAGTCGAAATTCTATTCCTTATAATTTGTGTGCTTATAGAGCTTAATAATTGACTGAAAGTTAATCTTCAAAATGTCTAATGTCCGACAATACACAAATAGAAGTCATAGAAGCTGCAATCAATCGATATTATAATTATCAAGAAAATGATAAAAATGTCAATGATGACAGTAGAGACTCATTGGAAAATTATAAAAGCAGTGTGATCTCGTTTTAAAACGTTCTCATATCTTATTCCCTGTTCCTTTTATTGGGTGTTCAAGTTCCTGGCTGCAGTCATCTTGTTCGATGACGTCAGAAACGAGGAAACGCATATCGAGAATTCTCGCGGTATACGTTCAAATAAAAAGATACACTTCCAAAATATAAAATACCCTCTTTCCTCTTTCGCTCGAACGATTGATAAATAACCGTGAAATTAACATGACATGCAACCATCTTTCTTAAATTATCTTTTCTCATGCTTTTGTCACATTGATTGTATAGTTATTTATTGGTTGTTCGAGCAAAAGAAAAATATTCGGAGTATTTTAATAAAATTATTTTAATAAAAGTGATATTGTAGTGTATTATTTTTATAAAAGTGATCTGAATCGATCACGATCATTTGTCATTTTGTGAGCTTTTTATCCGAACGTATACTGCAAGAATTCTGAGCGTGAATTTTCTCGCTTCCGACGTAAAACAAAATAACTGCAGTGAGTACACAGGAGCTTTAAACTATAGTTTATTCCTAATATCTTACTTCTAATTCTCCATATTTGATTCTTCGTTCCTTCTTCCTTTCATTGGGTCAGCGCCTTTACGCAATATTCGCGACAATGCAGGATTCTCAAGTCGTAATCGTCGCGTCCTTTCGCTGTTTCGCTTCGTGCGAAAGCGAAAGAGATATACTCTATTCTCGTCGCGGCAGAATTTATTTCCGCTCCTCCTGACGCTGCGTTAAGACAACAGGTGACAATTCGATTCACTCGCGAAAACTGGAAACAGTGTCCTTGCTTTGCTCGTTTCACTGCGAGTCATTCGAACATTCGTATACGAGAATTCGAAAATAACAATGACGTGAAAATAACGTCAAAAAATGAAAAAACGATCGAAAAATCCGACCGAAAAAGTTTTATAGTCACTTTCTCGTCATTTTGACGTCATCGTCATTTTCTGTTCTACCTGTGGAACCCCCCTATCCTCCGATATTTCGCCCGGAAACAAGAAGCGATCGACTTGAAAAATCCTCCCGAAATCCTGAGAATCATTCTGCGAATGTTACTGTCACCAGTGCGAATTGAATCGACATCTGACGTACAATTTCCCTCAGATCCACGCGTGTATCCTGCAGCGTTCCTGCGGCGATGACGGAGGGCATGGAATTAATAGCGCAAGGCGCAGAAGCGCGCCTCTACAAAGGGGAATACTTGGGCAAGATGTGCCTGCTGAAGGAGAGATTCGTGAAAAATTACCGGCACCCGGAACTGGACGCGCGTCTCACCAAGGATCGCATCAAAGCCGAAGCTCGTGCCATTATTCGTGCGAAGGCCGCGGGTAAATGCGAATCCGCGAGTGCAGTCGGAAATGCGTGCCGCAGGCACTGATGCGCGCGCGTAGCAGCGTCCAAGCTTGCCCGATTCTCGCGTTCGTCTATTTCCTTCTTCTTCTACTTGTATTTTCTCTTTAACGCATTGACTATCGCGGTGATCTCCGTTGATTGTAAAGCTTAATTAACGATATAACTTTTTAACGTACAGTACAGTAAATTAGTGTAATTCTAGACGTGTATATCTTTAATCTCGTTTCACTGTTTCTGTCTCTACACGGTAAATTTTGCGTTAAATTTAACACATTTCACATGTCTCAGGCGGAACAAATATAAATTTTTGCGTTAATTTCACACGAGGTGAACACGTTGAAAAGTAACACAATATTATGTCAAAAATTAACACAAAATTAACATCCATAATATATTAATCGACACTTAAGTATAAAATGTGTTAGAGTCGTTAAAGTAAGAGTCGAGTTACTGAAGATATTTAAATTCTTGCTTTTCTTTCTCTTTTCATCGTGAGAGATTTGATCTGCTTCTCCTAAACCAGTAAAAGGGAAGAAAGAAATAAGAATGTAATAATGGAGAGGAAAAAATGCTCCTTTCGGTAATTTCGAATTTTCTTTCTCTTCTTGGTCGATTTATCAAAAAACACCGAGTCTCACCTCGGGATAATTTTAAATTATCCCTTTGATTTGTTTCTTCTCGCTCTGTCAAGGAGTAGCAACACCAGCTCTGTACCTGGTGGATCTAGAGCGACGCAGCATTTACATGGAATTCGTAGAGAACGCCATGGTGCTGAAGGACTTCATAGACGAAAACATTTCGGGAAAGGGGAACGTGCATGACCTGCTGGAATTCATTGGACGTGGATTGGGCGCGCTCATAGCCAAGCTGCATTCCAAACACATCATCCACGGCGATTTGACCACGTCAAATATACTGCTGAAGAACGACTCAATCGAACTGTCTGATAGTAAAAAGTCCGAAGGTAATGAACTTCTTCTGGCATGACGCATTTCGAATACGGCAAACGTTAACGCCGCAGCAGACAAAACACATGAATTGCATTCAATATAATAAATGATACATAAACCCAACATAAGGAGAACACCCAAATATCTTGGGGGGCCTAAATATAAGAACTTTAAAAACAACTGAAAAAAATTACCATAAAAAAAAATTCTCTTCCACATTATTCTTCCTTCGAAACCATTCAAATTGTGCTCTAAACACCTTTTCCATGTCATTAGAAACAAAGGAGATATTGAGGTGGTCTCTTTATGCTTCTGGGATACTATATAATATATACGTGAATTTTTTTATGCCAGCCATTCTTATCATATTTCCGTCACTTCGCTGTATTCATCGTTCTTGCTTTCCGCAGCTGATACCAAATTCGTAATGATAGACTTCGGACTGGCCCGGGTGGACTCCACGGCGGAAGACAAATCGGTCGACCTGTACGTTCTGGAACGATCGCTACTAAGCGCGCATTCCGAAGTACAGTCGTTATTCGACCGTATCTTTCGTCACTATCGACTTCATTATCAGAATAAAAGCCAATGTGAGCAAGTGATCTCGAAGTACAAGCAGGTACAGACACGAGGACGCAAACGCCTGATGATCGGATGAAGCGAAGAAACGAAGAAGAAACTTCGCAGTCCCGTGGAGAGTATAAAGAGTTTATGTATAAATATATTTTCTTACAACACGCGCAAGATGAACTTAGATAGATCGCGGGCCGTTCGAACTTTGCGTGCTAATGAATGTAAGTTACACACATACACACACACACACACACACACACAAACATGCGATTCACGTCACTCGGAACTTCAGTCGCGACTCGTACGATTGGTTAAAAAATTGAAATGCCCGATCATTTTTGAGAAGGTAAGAAGATTTTTTATACAATAAAACCATACGTGTATGTAACAATACGTAACGGTATAATAAGATAACGAATAATGCAAGGGAATTACCAGAATTGGGAGAGCTGCGCTTTTCAAGAGTAACTCGTTACCGTTACTTGTTATTTGTTGAGAAAAAAAGAAAAAAAGAGTGACTTGTTACCGTCTTGCTACTCAGTATGTTCATCCTCGTTTAGCAGGTAAATTTACAATTTTCATTACTTCTTTTTCACCAAATTTTGAAAACATACTTTTACGATTCGTTGCCGCCCTTCCTATATACACCAACTGATGTTATAGTATACATTAATGGTTTACGTGTGCAAGAAGTAACGATTCGTTGCCCGAGAAATGTAATCACGTTACCATTATCGTTACCAGTGTAAGGAGCAATGACGGTGTCAGGTCATTGTTGAGGAAAAGTAACGGTAACGGCATTACAAGCAACGAGTTACTTCCCAATCTTGGCGATGACTATTGCATACGTATATAACGAATTTGGCAGCGGCGACGATCTGTGATGACAAAGCTATTGCTCCTTGTACACGTAGATTGTGTTGGTGTAAATCAGTCGAAATGCAGTCCGGAATATATAATGATCCAAGTCACCTATCGACACAGACAACGATATATAATACACATCACTATGCGCCTACTAATGGGAATATAAATTCTCTTGCACTCTGATTCCTCACCAGAAAGCCGGCGAAGGAGGTCATAAAGCCCTCCTTCGTCAGTTCCCACACGCCGCCGAATTCTTCCTCGTCGATTTGTTGGAAACTGCTAAAGTATAAATACGTAATTCCCGCATTGACTAATACAAATCTGAAATCAAAAGCATTCGACGATGTAGCAATGAAAAATATCGACGATGACATTAATTGAAAATATGTGCAAATTGGCGCGAATTCAACGATGAAATAATGAACTGAATGGAAAGATCGTCGCTCTGTGTGATCTATACTTACAACAATAAAGCTAAAAAACCTTTCAAAGGTATAAGGCCCCATCCTATACCGACGATGATACCAATCGCCTGTCTTGCCCAATATATTACATCAAGAAATTCTTCCTGCAATTCGTGAGATAAGTAAAAGTAATATCAGCTGATTAACTCTGAACTGTCATTTCATCACTTGTATGTATATAGTAAAAAATATTTTTTACTTGTGTTAAATCGGTCTTTGTTAAAATTCTTGTGTTAAATTTGCAATATACTTGTATGTTAATTTAACACATTGTGTTTATGTTATTTCAATATTTTGTGTCCCGATATTCAATATGTGTAAGTGTTAAAATAACAAATTTTATATTTCAGTATCGATTAACACATTATGGATATTAATTTTGTATTAATTTTTGGTATAATAATTGTTACTTTTTAACATATTCACGTTGTGTTAAATTAACACAAAAACTTGGATGGACCGTTCGGGACATGTGAGGTGTTAAATTTGACACGAAATTTTTTACTTTGCGCAGACACGCAATACACATATTCGTGAAGTTTTTAAATTTTAAAGACCGCGTAAAACGTTTATTTTACAACTTGCAAGTTTTCTGAGATCGCACTATTCCTCCAGATCTAAAAGGATAAACCAATCTCAGCTCAGAAAAGACTGCCAGCAGTTGGAAAATAAACGTTCTGCTCGACGTGGCCAAAGACTCGAATGAGAAAAGTGCAAGTTCTCATTGTCGAAGCGATGTGATCTCCGAGATTCTCGTCAAAACAGTGTTCGCATCTGAGAACTGTGCGTTTATAAAATGTTACAACGGCGAATAGAAAATCGGGAATCAAAATTCGTAGTTATGTTTACCTTGTCCGGCCATTCGGAGTTGGCTGTGATTGCACGTGTCCACACGCTAACCTCGCATTTGCCGCCGTTGCCGGTTTTCTCACCTCTTGTACGCGACATTCTCGCGCGCCTCTCTCGAAGAGCTCGCGATCTCTGAGTGTGAACGTGATCGTCAACGTGATTCCAATTACGCGATCATCGCTGTGTCAGCGTCAACGTAACTCGCTCCACGTTTCCACAGTGGATACCTTGCACTCTACTGGATGTATCGCAATAATGATTGGCAGCCTAACTACCTTCGGTTCCGGTCCGTTCGTTTTCACTGTATTTTGCATCTGCTGTAAATAACATTCCAAATAATATTTTAAATATTAGTTGTTAAAATTTGAGACATGCCTGGGGGAGAGGAGGAGGTGTATAACTTCTGTGTAAATTTTAAATGTTTATTATTAAGGAGATACTAGTGGTAAGATGGAAAGTAAATTGGTTCCTAGGTGGAACATTCTTTTCTTTTATATATTTATTCAATTTTTTAATAATCTTAATATACAATGGTCAGATGCACACGTTATGTCCCTTACAATTTAGGTTTTTACATATTTTTACATGTAAAATAAAGGAATATAAATATACAAATATGTATATATAAATAAAATTTAAAGAAAATATAGATGAATGGCTATATGTCAATTAATCAATTAGTATAGTTAAATGAACTAATTAGTATTGTGTTATATTTCGAAAATAAATGTCCGTCTCACCTGTCATTTTACTGTCACTCGTATTACTGGGGCAATGACGGTACGACCGACTTATCGTTGAGTTGTACTACTACCTCAATTCTTCGTTTAAGTTGGTGGCGACTGCTAGAGGAAACTTCGGAACTACATCTTGTAATAATTTATGATTTGTTGTAAAAAAGATTCGTGAGTGTGAACGACTTGCCAGACGCCATCTAGCAGCGATACGTAAAATCTTTTTGACGAATGGTTCGAGTCTTAGCTAAACAACTATGATTTTATTAGATCCGTTATTTTAATTTTTGTACGTGCAGATATGATAAAATACGTAATCAATTAATTATTTTCACTCGTGATGCACAAATAAAAAAGAAAAAAAAATTATAAATTGATTAACAAACCTGCAAATTCTTTCAATAGAAAAATAAGAGGCATCCTTTACACAACCTTCCTTTACACAACATTATCATATATCTTAAAGATGTTTAAAAAACATCTTAAAATTCCAGACATGTAAAATAAGGCGTCTTTAAGATATCTTTGAGACATGTGTTTTGTACGGACTTGCAAGTTTAGAATATCTGTATTGTATACTTATTTAATTTTAAGTCTTGCCAAAGAGAATTTCAATGGAACGTCGATGATTTCTTTAGTGATTATAGATAATTACTAATTCCGAGAGTTTGAATAGCTACTTTAAGAAAAGATACATCTTTTTCTTACGAAAAGACGTATTAATAAATAAAATTTTTCATTTTCATACAAAGGAGAGATCGATCGTGAGTTGATCCAAATAGATCTGAAATCGGCTCTCTGGTACTAAAGATAGTATTACATATAGCATTAAAACATCTGTGTTTGGCTCTTAACGGTCTTTAAATACACATCATAATAAATGTATTTAAATATACATCATTATTTCTTATCGAAACCATAATACTTTAAAATTTGCTAAAAATAAGTCTATCAAAGGTAAAAGGAACATCATTTTACGTCTATATATACGTGTGATACGAGTCTTTATTTTATTCGGATAACAGTTTATATCGCGCTTCTAGTAAGCTGCCCGAACCAAAATAGATTGCAAATGTTAACATCAAATGTTATTTGCGCATCTGAACTTTTGAGCGAATGCGACGTCGAACGCGATGGCATTAATATTCACAATGTATTTTGGCATTATGTATCCATCCATCGTCTGTCTCTGTAGTGTGGTGTATCTTTGCGTCGTATGTATATAGAATATCGTGTATGTGTATATAGGAATGTATATCGGGGAAAGAATTTAAATATAATGCATACGGAGATATCTCTCACATACACGCTATGTCGCATGCACACGCATACACACACACGTCACGTACACGCGAGTTTGACTTTCTCGTCTCTCTCTCTCTCTCTCTCTCTCTCTCTCTCTCTCTATATATATATATATATAT